AGAAGCTTATCCAGCTCCAGAAAGTCATATTCATCTTTATGGAGGTGGCAGAAAGCTGATGTTTGGAGTGGTGAAAGCTGGAGTTGGTATGGCAGTGATTTTAGGGTGTAGTGAACAGCAGAAGCAAAATCAGAGATCTAAAGAAATACATAGTGCAAATGAACAGTTACAAGCTATTCTGGATAGTCTCAGTGCAAAACTTGAGGCAACAGTTAAAAGTAAGATTGGAGGCAAATAAAATTAGGAGGCAGACTTTGAGGATTAGGTGCTTATTAATAAACTTAATGGAAAAATCCACTGTATGGGTTTAAAGAAGTCATGAAATTGTTACATCTGTATGGTAAATAGATCTCTTTGCCATGTGGAGGTTAGTTAGCTGGAAGCCAGGTTGACACCTGCGGCATGAAGAATGTTTTAGCCCATATAAGAGGTGGTGGAATGAACTAGTGAAATGGTAACTAGTGTACCAGCAAGGGGATAGATTCAAGAAATGTCTTTAGGAGGAGAAAAAAAGGAGGTCGATAGCCAATTTAATTATGGGAATAAAAAGTTCAAAACTTAAGGGTGACATATTTCAAACTTTAAAAATGATACCATCAGTAAGATAATCCAAGAGGAGAATCATGAATCTTTGTGTATATGATAGAGAAGGAGAGTTTGATGTTTTGAGTTTTGTATCTAGTGTTGGTTATTCAACATTAGGTAGAAATGTTCCTTGGTGGGGGGAAAGATGATTCTGGGGATACAAAGGGGAAGAAGGTATAAATATTATTATCCAGTTTGATATAGTGTATAAGAAAAAGTTGAAATGATGTGTGTGAATACATAGCTAACAAAGAATGCTTAAAATGAGAAAAATAGAAAGTGATTATTTAATTGCAAGGGTCTCCAAAAGCATATGACATCAGATACAGTTTTGTGACCAAAAATGGGGAAAAATAATAATAGAATGCACTGTACATTAAACCAAATCCAAAATGAATTTCAAGAAATTACAGGTGGTATAAAGTACAGAGAAGCTTAGTAAAACAATAAGTACTAGAATGTTACTTGTCATTATTGAGGTCTCTAGAATTTAGGTTGTTTATAAATTGAAAACCAAATTGGAGATTCAGGAACAGTTGAAGGAGGAAATAGAGAGGAGGGACTGAGGGAGGAGGATGTGGTCTCAAAAAAAGGTTGATAAGAAGATGGTGAAGCATATTTGTGATTTAAATATATTCATAAAGAGAAGATGAAAGAAACAAACTAAAGACCAAGGAAAATCAGGGTGGATATAGAAGTGAGACAACCTTTCAAAATAAGGCATTGTGTATTTAAAGATATTGTATTTCAACTTTTTGTAATTTGTACAAGGCACTAATATTACTGGTAGTTTATACTGATTCAGCAAGGCCATAAAATAAGAAACTTTAAATTTTCAAAGAGTCAAAATGATAAATCAGGAACTGAAATAGGATATGAAATAAAAATTTTAAAAACTCAAAAGTAAATCAGCATTACAAAGTAGAAAATTTATAGAAAGCTCAGGAAACAAAGCTATGCCATGTCTGACACATTTCAAAACAATAATGGAATTCTGAATATGGAGTCATCTTTTCTTGTACTTATAGACTTACATGCTGCAACAAACACAGTTTACTTAGGTAGGGAAAATTTCCTTCAAATTTTGAAATAAATATAAAAGAAATTAAAATTTTTTTTCAAGTTAAAGATTACAGACAATTCCACAAGCAGCTTTCATTTCCCTTTATACATCAATGGATATATTTTGATTATATACATTTTTAAAATTAAAAAAGTATTCATAAACTATGTATGAAATTATGGTTCTAATAGTAACAAAAGTTAATAAGATTTTTAAATGGCCTAAAAAATAAATATTACATTGTATGTTTAACTTGCATATTTGGCTTGAAATAAAATAAAAATGACATTAACATTAAAGTAACATGGACTCAAAGTGAAGTGACTAAAGAAACTATAGTTCCTGCATTCACTTCCACCTAATAATAAATTTAGTTTACAAGACCTCTCTTAAAATTCAAATATTGCTAAATACAAATATGGACATCATTCCAAAATTTTAAATTCTTGCTCATCGCTTCAAAATACAGTATAGAAAGATTTGGTCTCTAATAAAGTATAAATTGAAAAATAAAAGCTCACTGGATTTGCAAGTTCCTAGTGGTCCAGAGTTGTGTCATTTTTGCTTCTAAATTTGACTATCACTCTCTGATGCAGAACAGGTATCCAAGGTAGCAAAGTTGAAGAATGAATGAAATTAAAATATGCTGCAAAAAATGTGTCCTCTAGTCATGGCAAGAAGAGAAAATAATACTTTTCTTTTCTCCTCTGGGGACACTGGTAAGAATCTCCTGATAGAGGCTAAATGAATAATCTATTTTAAAAAGTATCTGAAGAACTTATTAGAACCAATATAGTTAATGCACTTTTAGAGTAGTAAAAGTGCTTTTAAGGTATTACATAGATAATTTTATTTTCAGAAAAATCATTACACAGTATTCAAAGTAAGAACTCTACTGCTAAAACGTATAATTGGAAGGACTATTTCTATTAACTTGGTTCTTTGATTATCTGACATAATATTGGCATATAAAAGTGAAGCTGGCCTGGCACGCTCACACTTAGTGACACTCAGTTATTACAAGGGTCTAGGAATAAAATAGTCCCTCACGCCATCATTCCCATGGCTCCTGTGACCTTCCCATGGAAAGATCACGCTCCTGAATGCTCATGTTCAACTTACAGCAGGGACAGAAGACCTTTGCTCTTCAGCACAAGATCTCAAAGCATAATTGGCTGCACCACAATACAGTGCAATAGGGAATGGGAAACATAGGATTTCCACTGTTGGGGAACTTCTAAATTCTAATATGGGTGGAATCAAAGCACTCTTATGAAGTGAATGAACCTGAAAAATATGGAGCAAGATGGCAGGAAGGATAGCAGAAAGCTAAATGAAACTATCAAAATCCCCCAGGACTACGTCAGTCATTAGAGAATACGTTTACCTACTGGGAAGTTCAATATTCAATATTCAAATTTGGGGAATATAATATTCAAAATCTCTCTCACCATGATTGTGCAGTCATCAGTTGCTAGCAGCATCTTCTTGCTATTTGTTTGGATTTTTCATGTGATCTGGAGAGAATTGTTCCCTATTACACCTTCATCCTCCCTTTTGCCTGAGGACCACATTTTGTCACTATGGTAATTTGATCCCTTTCCTTTGCTCCCTACTTCTCTTTCTTTCACTATATATGTTTTTCTTTATTGTATAATCATGATTTAAAAGGGCAGAGAGGAAGACACGCCAGCCACATATCCAGAGGATGGCTGTGTGATCTCACTTTCATTTCCCTAATGGCTTCATTGTAATTAGATTTGCAAAAACAGCAAAAGGTCTCATTTTGAATGGCAACAGCTGTTGACATCAACATTCTATTGAATAATTTACTGGTTTAATTTTAGCTGCAAAACAATAAAACCCTCTCGTGGATGATTTTAGCAGGCAAACTTTTCTCTTTCTGTTGCTGACTCCTTCTTCTGTTCCAACAGTACCAGTTGCTTTTTTCATGAAATATTTTCAACTCAAGTATGCCAAAAACTCACAAGGGGGCCCAGTTTATTACTTCTAGTTTCCCTGAAGCAAAGTGTCTATGTGAGTATTTCATCATCCTCAAGCTACGTGCTTATGTGCAAGCCAAAGAGTTGGCAGTTAGGTCTTGGAAGGTGAATTTGAATCTGAATAGCAGTATATTACTTTACCTTCTGAGAGTTTGCTACTTCACAGAGTGACTTAAACTGATTTCTTGGCCTGTAGAAAATTGTAACAGCTTCTGCAAATTGATGTTTTCTTGGCAGAAAATGATCTCGCTTGCTTAACTTCTTCAATAACCTCTACCAGCTATCCCTTAATCTGGCAGAAAATCTCTTTATGGACCCTCGTACCTATTACCAGATACAAAGTACCCAAATGATTCTCAACAAGTGTGCATAGAAACGTGTGTGTGTGTGTGTGTGTGTGTGTGTGTGTGTGTGTGTG